AAGAAACAGTAAAATACTCTTAAGAAAGATCATTGGAGATTACTTCAGATATAAGAAACAGACTAATATTTTATGAAATATGATTAATGATTTGTTCAAATATAAGAAATAATCAAATAATTTTATGAAAAATGATTAGAGATTAGTTCAAATAAAAAAAGTCAAATAATTTTATGAAAGATGAAGATTAGTTCAAATATAAAAAAAACTGTTCAATACATTTATTAAAGATGTCTGGAGTTTAGTTCATAGATAAGAAATAGATCAATATTTTTATGATAGGTGATTGGGTGTTAATTCAAATATAAGAAACCTTTTTTCTTTTTTATTTAACCAAATTTACCCCATGCAAGGCAGTAAAGCTACTAAGACACAAGGGGGTTACTGAGTGGGAAAGAATTAGAAAATAGAAATATTATCAAGGAGTGAGAACAATACAAGATTAATAAGGAAAACAGTAGATAATGATTGACATTGCATTAAAATTTTTGAAGGTCAAAGTTGGCTGAAAGGCTTGGAGCTGGAAGTGTGTTCCACAAGAGAGAAGTGCGAGAAAAAACTGTTATAGTTACATCTAGACAACTCAAATGTATATCAATGAAACCTTGTTGCCATTCTAGTACTGTGCTTAAATTCATAAAGTCTAAATACTATAGTGAAGAGCACATTTGAAGAATTATCTTGAATATATTTATAGAAAAGGCACAGGGAGAATACATTACAGTGGTGGGAAAGTGACTGAAGCTGAGACATCATGTATATAATATTGCTGATCCTTCTTTGGATTTTATCAAGAATCTCTAAATATATAATAGGTGCTCTAGACCATATATAGTACAAATATTCAAAGTATGTGTGATTAGTAGATATGTAAGATAGATTCTGGCAAGAAAAATTTACCAGCAAAACACAGGGAACCAACTTTTGAAGCAGCAGACTTAAAAATTGATTCAATATAGTCTTTCCACTTTCCGTGTTAGCCTGAGATGTACAAGTTACTCTCCTGTAGACTAATATCAACCATGCTGATGGAAGGCAAAAAGGGTTCTTTCAGATGAATAATACAAAGCATTTTTGGGGGGAGGCATTAAAAATTAACAAGTCATTTGACCCAGTTAACAATACATAATACAATAATAGTTGTGTCCTCAGCATAAATACCAAGTTGAGAGCTGATGTCATCAGAAAGGTCATAGATGAAAATTAAGAACAAATTAGGACCAAGGATAGAGCCCTAACAGACATCAGTATTAATACAGAATGATCTAGAAGAGTGGCCATTCAGGACAACTTTCATTTAGTGATTTGATAAGAAAAACTGAATCAGTTCAAAAATTTGTCCAGAGACACCATAACCTTTCAACTTGTGAAGAAGACCAGTATGCCAAACCTTGTCAAATACTTTTGAGATGTGCAAAGCAATAGGCCTAGCTTCACCATTCTTATCTAAAGCTTGATAGATTTTTTCCATAATATTCATTATTACATCAACAGTTTACCTAGAAAAGTGAAAACCTTATTGCTTGTCTGAAAAAAGACTTTGCAATGTGAGATGCTTACCTAATTCATCATTGATAGCCATTATTGATTTACCAAAGAGAGTTAGAAAGCTAATAGACTGATAGGTTAGACGGGTTGGATGGTCCACCTGAGTTCTTAAAGACTGGAACAACAGATGAAATTTTTCAAGCAGGAATGTACGAGGCAGCAAGGTATTATGATACAGTTTAGAGACAACAGGAGCTAGTTCAGGTGCACATTTCTTAAGAACTATTACAGAGATACTATCAGGTCCACATGCTTTGTCCAGAGGGTCCAGATTAGAGATGATAGCAGAAACCATGGAATGAGTTATATGAATATCACTCAACAGAGAATCTGTTCTAAGTGGAAAGCCAGGCATGGATTCTCCAGATAAGTTAAGAGTAGAGTTTGAAGAGAATTTATGAGTGATATATTATGCTTTATCAGTAGAAGATGTTAACACCTCAAATTGAATGAAGAGAGGAGGAATAGAAAACTTACTCTTATTTAATACACTATTACTGAGCAGCCAGGAGTCATGAGAACCAAAGTTGTTAGATGCAATATGGTGCTTCATTCTATCAGCAAAGACTTAGCTTCTTTAAAGACATGTTTACATTTATTACATGTAGCCACAAATAGGCATCAGTTGTGATCAGAATTGTCATGCTGTATAGCCATAAAAATGATTCCTGTGGGATATAGCAGCAGAACAAGCCATGGAGTAGATTGAGGTTTCACCTGGTATTTACAACAAAAACTTCTATGTTTGCTTTGACCCAAGAAGAAATCTCACTAGCACAGTTCTTAATAGGAGGGTTAAGGAATCAATCCAAGAGGCGTCTCAAAGGAAGTCAAAGTGAATACCAATCCACATGCTGATAACAGAAGAGGTCTTATGAATAGGAGGATTTTGTCTAATGGAACAAAATATCAATAGATACTACAGCATGATCAGAGTTGTTAAGCTAAACAAGAGCTTGTAGAGGAGGTAAGAAACAAATCAAGTAAGGAAGCATGTTGATCAGATTTATTAGGGAAACAAATAGGGAAATTCATGATTTGATTAAGTGACTGATCAATGGAAAAATTAAAAGTTTGAATACTGGCAACATCAAGACATTTGTTATGATGCACATTAAAATCATCAAACACAAAAATGTTCACAGATGGATGAATAGAGAGCACCATTTCTATACTGTCAGAAATGTTATCTAATATATTGCAATCCCAAGAAAAGGGAGATCAATAAAAGAAAAGGTGATAGCTAACAGAGTGTAATAACAAAAGTGAAAAGCACACAAAAGATTTGTCTGGGGACTTGAGTGACAGTTGTCTTGCCACTGGAAGATTATCTCAGATGTAAACACCAAGACTGTGCATATGAATTTGAAGAATCTTTTTGGCAAAGAGAAAGATAGCCTGGAATAGAGAGTTAATTAGTAGCAATGGAAGAATTTTAATTGGTTTTACAGAGTGCAAAGATATCTAGTGACCATTTCAAGCCAATGTTTTCATGAAAGATGATTGGAAGTTAGTTCAAATATAAGAAACTATCCAATATTTTTATCATATGAAAGTTGATTTGGGATTAGTTCAAATACAAGAAACCCTGAATACTTTTATAAAAGATGATTGGAGCTTAGTTTAAATATAAGATATAGTTTAATATTTTTGTAAAAACAAGGCCAGATCACTCAAACCCTCAGTCATGATGACTTGTGATTTCATGCTGGCATAACCAGTTACAGTTTCCCAGTCACACAATTTCACTCACAATGCTTGAGTCAACCCGTATTATGATTTCATGTATTTTTCAATGGTGCCACACAGTATGATCACCTCCTCATGTCACCTAGAATCACTTCCCTTGAAAAATCAACCATGGCTTCATAGTCAGAAAGCAAACATTCTAACCACTCATGCCATACACCCTTATTGTATCATACTAAGAATAACTTCTTATGGTGCAGTGTGTTACTAGTTGTTAATTAATTGTTACTATTAGAAGTGAATTACTGTTGCTGTTATTCTTTAAGAGAGAAATAAAAATGAATCAGATGAAAAATTTGCCCTCAGTTCAGTTCTCAAAGTTAATGTTCCATAACTGTGGTCTTGTGACGCAATAAAACTAAAAAGTATTAAAAAATACCTTAAAAAAATAAAGTCTTAATGAGGCATAAAATATGAAAGGACATATGTTAGCATTTGTAACAGAGTAAATGACATGAAATAAAAATGCATAAAAAATACAATGATAACAACAATAAAAACTTGAGACGTGTTGATATAAATAACAAAAATTTGTATTTTTTTTGTTATGTGAATTACAGAGTATTGATATGGTGTGTGTAAAAATGTTCTCAGTGTCTCTTTTGTTTAAAAGTAGTGTTTACTTGATTTGGTTCCAGGAATTTCGTTTGTGAGGATGGCATTTGAAATCGTCTGTTTTTAATTTCCATGGAACTCTGGCTAGCCATGTGTTTTATGTACTGCTACTTGTCTACTCATCACTGACTACTTCTACAGATGCCGTAGTATATCTACTGACTCTCTTATGGTGGAAGGGTCATTTGTTATAATGATGAGAGTTAGGGTGATGAAATATCCTTATTTTTTTATCATCACAGATGGCAAGGTTATTTTTAGAATTATAAAATATCATTAACATTCTGGACTATAACATATTTTAGTTTTAAGATTTTTCTTTATTCATTTTTTGTGTAAGAGGTGGGGTCACTTACTTTTATTATTCTTTGAACAAAAGTTCTGTACCAACGTCTAAGATAATTAAAACTAAAAGTTAGTTAACCTTAGTCGTTTCGTAGGTTTTCTTCTTTTTCCTTTTTAAATACCAGTGAGAACTATGAACTGTAAAAAATTGCTAAGTAGCACTTTTTTTTTTATTTACTTAGCTATCGTAATTAAAGTCAGTTAATTTTATATTAATTAGAATTATTATAAAATCATTTATCAATATAAACTTTGTTTTCATGTTTTATTCTTTTTAGAGGCTGTATAGTAAATTTTACAGAAAGGAAATAATCCTCTGGCATTATTAGTGCTTTCCTTTCAGTATCTTTTCTTTTCTCCACTTCTCTCTTTCTCACTGTCAGACTAAAAAAAGAAAGTTATTTCACAAGCCAGTCTTTTGTTTTTGTTCTTACACTAAGCATCAGCCAGTCTTCTCAAGTTATTTTTTGTAATAATACTTTCGAAAAAAAAAGAAATAAAAAAAACGTTTTTTGTAAAGTCTAAAACCGGATCACATACTTTCTAGTAACAGTTAAAAAAAGTAACAAGATGTTATATTTTTATTTATAAATTTGCGGCCTTGTGCTTTTTCAGATAAGCTGGTGTCACAGACCATATTATTACAAATTAATTGAGTTCAATTTTAGTTTAGCGTAGTCTTCTGCCAAACTACACTCAACTTTGAAAAAATTGAAAACGCTTTTTTTTATCAACTTAAGGACATGATTTGGAGACAACTTACAAAAAGGTAAGTACATCAATCTCTTTTCTTTTATTTACATATTTTATTTTCTTCTTTAATCGCTTCTGAAATGATGACAAAAATATAAGATTTAATTTAAAAATAAACATATTGTGTGTCAATATTTGTTTCTTTTTAATGCCATGTAAACCAGATAATTTTTTGTTTATTTAAATTTTAAATCGTATCTCTCAAACAGATGTAGTTTGCGTAATGTATTTAACAAACTAAATACATTCATAAAACAAAATACGCATGCGTATTAGCTGGCGGGAAATATGATTTCAAGTGTTGGGTTTTTAAATTTGCTATTTTGTAAGTGAAAAAAAAAATGATTGACTTGCTTCAAAATATTTTCTTCTGTGTTCCTAAACGTTTCGTTTGCTTAATGGCGATTTACTTACACAAGCGGTCTTTTAGTTTTGCATAACCAATTTTAGTTCTTACTTAAATATAGCGATTCTAACACAATCCTGAGATCATTTTTTACATTGTTACAAGCATATTTATATTTTTGATGACATTTTAACTAAGTTAAAGAAATGTTGGTATGTGTGACTTCAAATTACATTTTTTTCTCATACTTTGAACCTGAGATTTTAAAACGCATTCATTAGATAAGCAAAAAAAAACCCAAATTTCTTGAATGAGATTTAAAAACAAACAATAAAAAAAAACAGCGTAATTATTATTGAAAAAATGTCACATGCTAAAAAGTTTTTAAGATGTTTGAAACTCCTTATTCCATTTAAAATGAATGTGTTAAGAAATGAGAAGATTTTGGTGTTTATTGCACGTGTAAAAAAAGGCAATATTGGCGAATTAATTTGAGTGGAATAGATAAACTAGAAAATGCCCATAAGAAGTTTAAACTTAATAGTGTGATGAAAACTAAAAAAGCAACCAATGTTAGAAAAACTAAAGAGATTTTGTACATGAGTGACCAAATCATTTATTTTCTTAAAAATAATCAAAATAATATTTCTCTCTAACACTTGTTATTTTTTAAAATTTATTTTTTAAAATAAATAATGCAAAGCAACATAAGTATATAAAAAAAGCTCAAATAAGATAGTTTAAAAATTATTATTTAAAATTAAAAATGTAACAGTAACTTAACTAATACGTGAAAAATGTAACGGAATTTAGAGCTCTTTTTTTTAACGTTTGCAATGTCTGTTTGCTTTTTTTTTTACTAGCTGTTTAGTACAAGTTTCGAAGTTTAAGTAGTATTACATACCATAGAGAGAGCGTCACGCAAAGCAAGGTCAGTTAAAAATTCCGAAAACAAGATATTTCATTTCAATAGTAGCTAAAATATTTTATAATAAAATATTTTGGCTAAGAAGGAAATGTCTTTTATTTAAATTTTTTATTTTAAAAAATTCAGAACTTTAAAAAAAAATTCAATCATTATTTTTATTTCTAATTTAGTATTTTTAATTTTTTTTTCTATGTTTAGTACACACCATGTGTTTTTTACTATTCAAATTTATTTTAAAAAAAATATTTTACAATGTAAAATTCACATGAACCTTACTTCTTTATTGATCGATTTCTTTTTTTCATTTTATGGATTATTGACAGAAACTGAGGATTAAATTATGTTTTTTGTTTGAGAGACTGAAGTAAAACAGAATTAAATTTTAATCAAAATGAGAGAAAAAAGTAAATATTTGCTTTTCCCTTTTTCTCTTTCACCATTTTTTATTTATTTTTTTTTTTTTACTTAAGTTGAAGTCCTAATTCTCTCAATAAGGCCCAACAACCGCAGAATTACAGGTAACAACATTATGATCGCGCTTTCCTCTGTCATGGTTCCGATCGAACTTCCCTTTTGTCTTGTTTTTTTTTTGTAAAGTATGCATTCTGAAAATAAAAATTTAAAACGAATGAGTACCCTTTTAAGAATTTGGAAATTTTTTAAATTGATTTTAATACAGTGGATAGCAAAAGTATTTTTTTAATTTAATTTGACACATCGGCTTTTTATAAAATTTGTTCAATTTGATTTGAATGATACTTACTTCAAATAATGAACATAACAAAACATAAAGGAAAATTGGAAAACATTGTTTTTACATACTTTTATTGCCAATTTTCGAATTTGACTGTGCAAAAGTATTTAACACCTAATACAGTAAAAGGATATTTTAAAACTATTTTCAGTTATTTTGATATGGTTTGTACTTCAACCAATCACAGATTGTCTTCAATATATATGGATGTTTCTCCAAGCACGTCACTCAACTTGCAAATATTGATAACAAGTCTGATACAGTATTGACTGCCCACCAACCCCACTTTCTAAGCCTATAAAAATAGCTAAAACAAATTTGTAAACATGTGCAAGACTGTTTGAAATTTGTTAAAAATTATGAACTTGAATCAAATGAATTCTAGAAGAAAGTTCTGGTTAAATGAAATGAAAATTGAGCTTTTCAGGAGAAACATGTGCAATAGAAAAATTATGGTATAGATTGAAGTTGAGAATACATGCCAGAGATCAAAAAAATATCAAGGGACTGAAAAAAGTCTGTGAAGAAGAATGAGTGAAACTGCCAAAATCTTCATGCAAGAAGCTCATTGAAAACTACAGAAAATGACGCGAGACAGTAAGACAGAACAGAGGATAGCCTACTAAATAATAGAAAATTGTGTTAAATACTTTTGCACAAAGTCAAGTTTAAAAATTGGCAACAAAAATACATAAAACAATATTTCTTAATTTTCTTTTGTTTAGTTGGACAATGTTCATTAAAATATTTGAAGTAAGTATCATTGAAATTGAACACTTTTTTTATTGTGAAATTTATAAAATACTTTTGCTACCAACTCTGCGTGTATATATATATATATATATATATATATATATATATATATATATATGTACATATGTATATATAGTTAATTGTTTATTTATTTGCATTCAATCTTATGTCTTAGTTTTATTTTGTGGAGTCATTGTGATAATGTTATAAGATTGAGCATGTGGAATATCTGAGATTAGTTGAAATCAGAAAAAAAAATTGAAAATCCTCTGGTGAATCTCTATAACAATTTAGAAATACACGACATACATGCATTTTTAAAATATTTCTAACACTTAATCAACAGCATATCTTTTTACAAATTTATCATATTCACATGTGAGAAATTTTGTATCACAAATTTTATTTACTTATTGTTACATACAGTGGAGCAACTCTAAAATAACTCATAATTAATTATTTTGACTAAAATGACTAGTAATGTTAATTCTCACCCGCAGCCATCATCAGCATGGCTGACACTTGGAGAGCAATACACTACACCTTCTTGGCGTCACATTTTCCATTTCCATTGACATCAAGTGCAACTGCATCAAATCAATAGCCACATCCACTGCAAGGAAAGTTGGGTCATTGTTGTACCAGAAATTTTTTTTTTTTTTTTGTCAGAATCCATCTTATACTTTTACAAATCTACCATTCATTTGTGCATTGAATACTGTTGCCATATCTGGTCTGGTGCTTTAAGTGTGCTATTAGATTGGCATCTAGTTCACACCCTTTTAATGTTGAAATAGTTAGATGCAACTGCCACTTCTACTCCAACAGTTTATTTTCTTGCACTTCTCACCTGTGGAACTCTCTTCTATTTCCTTGCTTCCCTGATAGCTACAATCTGCAAAAATTTAAATGCAATGTCAATTGCCATCTTCTATCTTTTTGAATCCCATTTATCTTTTGTCCTTTCATCAATCTTCCCTATACTCACTCTTTTTGCTTTCACTTCCTGTAATCCCATGTGCACTAGTGGCATTATTCCCTTTCTTGTGATGAAATGATTAAAATATCTATTTTGGATAACTATATCTGATTGTTATTTCCTAGTGTCAGTAAAACAAATTTTAATCAGACAAAGATATCCAAGTTTAGAGTTTATACTAGACTTCTAATATCTACTTCTTATATTTCTTTGTAATCATAATATTGAATCACACTAGCAATCACAAACACTTATCAAATCTTTTGTTGGATGGAAATTCAATTTGTGTTGTGCTTGTTTGCTTTCACTTTATCTTTAGTTTCTATCAAATGAGTGATTTGTTTTCCAAATTGTAGCATTTGACAGTGAATTCTTAAATGGCTTGAATTCAGTTTTCAAGTTAAGTAGTTAAAATAGAAAGGGGTGTAAGACAACGATGTCTTCTCACCAGGTTTATTCAACTTATACAATAAGGCAATTCTGAGAGAACTAGAAGTCCTACCAGGATTTATTATTGGCTGCCACAATATTAACAACATACGCAGATGACACTGTGTTGATAGCAGACACAGAAAGGAAGCTACAAAAATTCCCACAGAAGGCAGTGAAGAAAAGTGAGAAGAAAGAATTAAACATCAATTGAAAGAAGACAGAATGAATGGTGAGCTCAAAGAGCAAATTGTAAATCAGAAATATCAAAATCAAACCTGTGCAGGATTTTAAATATCTGGAAAATGTTTTAACAGAAGATGAAAAGTATGACCTTGAAATCCAAAGGTGTATTGGAATAGCCAAGGAAGCATTTCAAAAGCTATGCAGAGTATGAAGAAATTGAAAAATTTTGTTAGAAACCAGGAAAAAGAGTACTAAACAGTTTAGTACTCTATGTGATATCTCTCTGACTGTATGGCAGTGAGTGCAATGCGATATCCTCCTCAAAGATGAAGAGGAAACTTGAAGCAACAGAAATGTTGTAAAAATTTTTTTTGTTTCTTTCTTTCTTTTCACGCTCCTACCAACTCCTTGTGCCAGACACAAAATTTAGTTGGCAGAATAAACGATAACTGCCGTTAGTAGGTGCGAGTTAAAAAAACTCCGGTTTTTGAAAATTCAGACCCTTCAAAAATACAAAAAACACCAAAAGAAGGGATAAAGTTTTCAGACCCTTTACAACAATACCAAAAAAAGGGAAAAAGTTTTAGAGCTTTTACAAAAGTACATAAAAAAGGGACAGAGTTTTTAGAGAACGCAAGGCA